ATTGCTGCAGTCATGGTGTCAATCTTGTTGAAGGCCATCTTCTTTTTTTCTCTTACCCTTCACCTTTCCAAGCATGATGTCCTTTTCCAAGGAATAACTCCTCCTAGCAACATGTATCAAAGCATGTGAAATGAAGCTTTGTCATCTTTGCCTTCAAGGAGCATTCTGGTTACACTCTGTCCAAGACATATCTGTTTGGGGTGTTTTGGGGTTTTTTTAATTCCATAGGATACTCTTCAACATCACAGCTCAAGGCATCAATTCTTCTTCTGTAGACCTTATTCATTGTCCAGCTCTCAGATGTGTAGCAAAAGGTACAGAAGACCATGACCTGAATCAGGTGCACTTTTGTCTTCAAATAGACATCATTGTTCCTTCGTAATCTAAAGAGGTCCATGACAAAGGACTTGCTCAGCTCCTGATCTCCTGACTGCTGGTACCAAAGATGTTGATTATGGATCCAAGTAAGGCGAAATTGGTGACAACTTTAATCCCCTCTCTACCTATCATGGTGTTGCTTATCAGTCCAGTGATGAGAATTTTTTGTCTTCTTGATGTTGAGCTGCAATCCACATTGAAGGCTATACTCTTTAATTTTCTGCAGCAAACAGTTCAAGTCCTCCTCATTTTCAGCAAGTAAGCTTGTGTCGTCTGTACAACACAGGTTGTTGATGAATCTGCCTCTGATCTTGAAGCCATATTCTTCTTCACAGAGTCCAGGATTCTTAAATTATTTGCTCAGTGTACAGACTGAATGGGTATGAAGAAAGGAAAAAACCTTGATGCACATTTTCCTTGATTTTAAACTATGCAATGTTCTCTTGCTCTGCTTGGACAACAGCTTCTTGGTCTATGTCTAGATTTCATAAAAGATAATAAAATATTTTTTCACAAAATTTTTATACCTTCTAAAGGACTCCTAGGGAACTATGGTGGCCTAGTGGTAAGAAGCTATGCTGCAATTCCAAAGGCACATGGATTGAATCCACCAGCTGCTCTGCAGGAAAAGGATGAGCAATCTCCTACTGGAGAGTCAGCTATGAGTCCATTCCGACTCGGCGGTTCACTACCACCACCACCAAAGGACTCCTAGAGGCATAATGCTGATAATCCAAAGGTTGATGGTTCAAATCCACCAGTCACTATGCAAGAGAGAGATACACAATCTCTTCCTAAGAAGATGTAGAGTCTTGGAAACCCTGTGGAGTTGGAACTGACTAGACAGCTATGAGTTTGGTTTTTGTCTTTGTTCTTATTACTTCCAGCAGTAGTGTGCAGTGACTAAGAAATTGTTATTTGGTTTTAATACCTTTTTGCTGAAGATTCCTAAAGCTGAAAGAGAAAAATATTCCAGCCTTGAGTTGTAATACTGAACGATTCTTTGGATAAAATACTGAATGGCACAAAAAGCATCAGAAGGAGGATGTGGAGAGGTGGGAACTCTTAAGACATTGTTGGTGGGATTATAAAATGGTACAACCACTCTGGAAGACAGTTTAGCATTTCCTCAAAAAGTTGCATATAGAAACTCCGTATGGCCAGCTATTCCATACCTAGGAATGTACCCCAAAGCAATTAGAACTGAGACACAAATGGAGATCTGTATATCAATATTCATAGCAGCATTATTCACCATCTCAAGATCATAGAAACAGCCCATATGCCCAATTACAACTGAATGGATTGAGAAATTGTGGTATAATGGAATACTATGTAGCATTCAGGAGCAATGATTTTAAAAAATACTACATAACTTGGGAGATACTGAAGGGCATTATGGTGAGTGAACTAACTTAAGTTTCATAAGGACAAATACTGCATAAGGCCATTGTTGTAAAAACAGAGGATAACTAGTAAAATATGTATGGGGACCCAGGGGTGGGAGCAGAGGGGTGAGGATGGATAGAGGCAAAACCACAGGGTTGTACAGTTTAGTAGGTGGAAGGAGGGAGTGAAAAAAATGGGAAGGATCCAGTGGGGACCTGAAAAGATTGGGTAATGATGGGCCAGGTCCAATGGCGATTGCATTTATAAGACATAATGCATGTAAGGAGGACCTGAAGCGCTTGCTGCAAAGGGGAAGGACTGCAGCATTCCATATGGATTGAAGCTAAATATCAAGAAAACAAAGATTCTCACAACTAGGCCAATTGGCAGCATTATGATAGATGATGAAGAGACTGAGATTGTTAACAGCTTTAGTTTGCTTCGCTCCACAATCAAACCTCTTAGTACCAGCATCTAGGATATCAAAAGACAAATTGCACTGGGAAAGTCTCGTCAGGGACCTTGCCAGAGTACTGAAGAGCAATGATGTCAGTCTGGAAACGAAGGTGCACCTGATCCAGGCCCCAGTCTTTGCAATTTCTTACTATGCATCAGAGAGCTAGACAATGACTAGGGATGATAGAAAGAGAATTGATACCTTTGAGTTGTGATGTTGGAGAAAAGTACCATGGACTGCCAGGAGAACAAACAGGTTCATCCTGGAAAGGGTGAAACCAGGCTGCTACTTGTAGGCAAGAATTCTGAGGCTTCGTCTGACATACTTTGAACAGGTTGCAAGGAAGGACCAGTCCTTGGAGAGGGACATCATGCTTGGAAGGGTGGAGGGACAGCGCAGGAGGGAAACACACCCAATGAGATGGATTGATTCAGTGACTGGGGTAAAATGAGGGTAGGTGTGTCAGAGACAGTAAATTTGGCACAGGACAGAGCAGATTTCAGGTACATAGGGTCACTATGAGCCACAACAACAACAACAATGCATGGAAATGATTGTATGAAACACAATAAAAAGAAAATGAAATGGATATTTTACTTTGAAAATTCTTATTCTTCTTTTGCCTATTTTGTTGTCCATCATTCACTTTCATAAAAAAAAAAAGACTTTTTTTTTTGTTCAGTTGAAAAAAAAAAGAAAATGAAAATCCTAAAAACTGGACCAGTAAGCAAAAGCATGATAAATAGATAAAATATTGGGGTTGACAAGGAGCAACAGTGAAGAAATTAACTGACTTAGTGCTTTGGGTACATCTTTATAGTGTAAAAAAAGTGAAGATGTCATTGAAAGGACTAAGGTACTCCTGGTATCTTCAATTGCCTCATACGCATGTGAAAGCTGGACAATGAATAAGGAAGACCATGGAAACTTAATGTTTTTTAATCACAGTGTTGGCAAAGTATATTGAATTGACTGCCAAAAGAAGTAACAACTTTATCTTGGAAGTAGTACAGCCAGCATGTTCCTTAGAAGTGAGGATGGTGAAACTTCTCACGTGTTTTGAACATGTCATAAGGAAGAATCTGTTCCTGGAGAAGAACATCAGGGAAAAAGGAAGACCCTTGATGAGATAGATTGGCACAGAACTGCCACAATGAGATCAAAGCAGTCAGTGTTGTGGGAATGGTACAGGACCAACCAGTGATTTCTTCTTTATACACAGAGTCTCTACGATTTGGAGTCAATTCAAGAACCTTAGTAAAAA